GCCTGAGCTTATAAATGAAGTAAATGAAGTTAACAAGGCTTTTGTTGTTGACAGTGGTTGCACCCCAAACCATATGACCAACTGCAGTAATATTTTAAGTAACTTAAAAGAGTTTAAACAGGAAATATCAGTCGCTAAGAAAAACCAGTCAATGTTTTCTCTAGGTATTGGTAGCATTGAAACAGACAAGTGTATTTTAAATAATGTCTCTTACGTACCAGAACTTAGTAATAATTTAATGTCTGTAAATGCCATTACGGAAAAAGGTGGTACAGTTGTCTTCACTAAAAATAAAGTAGAAGTAATTAAAAACGATGAAATGATACTTGAAGGTAATAAAAATAGTCAGGGATTGTATATAGTCAATTTAAGAAGCAGCATTTGTAGTGAAAATAGTCTCTCTAATGGTAATACCAGCAATGTCACAATTCAGTCAGGTGAGGTGGTAAATAACAGCAGTCAACAAGAAGACAACGGTGAAAATCAAGAAAATTCTAGGGAATTAATGAAAATATGGCATAAAAAGTTAGGACACCTAAATAATGAGAGCATGAAGAAATTAACTAAACCTAAAACCAATGATCGACAAGACGTTAAAAAAGAAGCTGTACTAGATGAAAGTGAAGAACTAGAAGAAGAAGACACTATACCTGAACACGAAGAAGAACATGAACAGGAACCAGAAGACCTATATCAAGACGAAAATGGACATACTGATGAAGAAGAACCTGGAATAAGAAACGAAAGATATAATCTTCGACAAAGAAACAACATAAAAAGACCCGTCAGATATGAAGACTACGATCTTAACGCACTTTTGACGTACAATGAATGTATCAATGGAGATGAAAAAGAAAAATGGAAAATTGCAATAAATAATGAAAAAGAATCTCTGAAGAAAAATGAAACTTGGGAAATTGTTGACAGAAAAGAAACTTTAGGAAAGCAAATGTTAACAACTCAATGGATTTTCAAAGTCAAAGATGATGGAACCTATAAGGCGAGACTTGTTGTTAAAGGATGTCAGCAAAAAGGTAAAATAGATTTCAAAGATACATTTAGTCCTGTAGTGGACAGTACTTCACTAAGATTACTTCTTGCTATAGCAGCACAAGAAAACATGCATATACAAACATTTGACATAAAAACAGCATTTCTATATGGTCTAATGGAAGAAGACGTGTATATGTTGATACCAGAAGGTTTTGAAGAACAAGGTCAAGTCTGTGAACTAAATAAATCATTGTATGGTTTAAAACAGGCCCCATGCTTGTGGAACAAGAAATTTACTTCATTTCTTAAAAGTCAAGGATTGACACAACTGAAGTCAGATCAGTGTATTTTTAAGAATCCCGATAACGATCTCTACTTAGCTATCCATGTAGATGATGGTATTTTGATTGGTAAAAATGAAGGAAAAATTGCAAACCTACTAAAGCAACTTGAAGATGAATTTGAGATGACGATCAGTCCAAATCCAACAGTTTATATAGGGATGGAGATCAAACGTAACAGGGACGGAATTTTAATCAGTCAAGAAAAGTATGCAAAACAAATTCTTGAAAGATTCAATATGAAGAACTGCAAAGAAGTAAAGACACCAATTAACCTGAAAGATACAACTGAAACTCTTCATGAAAATACTACTAAAGGAGCTTTTCCTTACAGAGAAGCAGTAGGAAGTCTGCTTTACCTCACTAACAAAACCAGACCTGATATGAGTTTTTCAGTCAGTTATGAAAGTAGACACTTGGAAAATCCTGACAAAATTGATATACAAAATGTAAAGAGAACCCTTAGATATCTAAAAGGAACACAAACCCATGGAATAAGATTCTATTCAATTAATAGTGACAAAATTGAGCTGAATGCTTATTGTGATTCTGATTTTGCAGGAGACACTCAAGACAGAAAAAGTACAAGTGGTTATGTAATAATGTTCGCAGGTGGACCTGTGACTTGGAGCTCAAGAAAACAGCCCATTGTAGCACTTTCAACAGCTGAAGCAGAATATATTTCCGCTGCTGAATGCTGCAAGGAACTAAAATATTTGAAAACTCTTATTAGTGAACTTACTAACAAGCCAGTGAAAATAACACTCAACATTGACAATCAAAGCGCGATGAAAATGATTCAATCTGGTCAAATGAACCGCAGAAGCAAACACATTGATGTACGCTATTACTTCATAAGTGAACAATTTCATGAAGGCCTGTTTGCACTCCAATACTGTAGGTCTGATGAACAGTTGGGTGACATTTTCACAAAATCTCTTACTTACCCTAAATTTCAAAAGTTCAAAGAAATCCTCATTAAAAGTTTTGTCTAATTTTGAGTTGAAACTTAGAAATAAGATGATGAGGTAAACAATGTACTGTAAATATAATGTAAATATTATTCATTAAATTAAATGGACAATAAATAGACAATCTAATAAAAACATTGTATTTTCAAATGTTAAAACTGTTTTTCAACTTTGTAAAACACAAACAATATTATTAACTAAGCTAGCAGTATGGGTTTTCAAGAATCTAGCGTTGAGAAATATATAAAACATTTTATTCTTAAGGGGGAGTGTTAAATATAATATAAATATAAAATGTTTGTTTAAGCCTGCCTTTACTAAAAAGAACAGCTGTAATGAGATTATTGGAATAACATCACAACAATTTAAAATGGTGTAAATAAAAACTATTAGTGGAATGTGTTTGAGAATCTTGTTGTTGGTTTTGTGAATAATAATTTTGTTTAATGTAAAAAGTGAGTATTTATTTAAATATAAAAAAGTAAGAAAACTTTTCAGATTATTCCAAAGTACAATGGCGTAAGTCAGAGGAAATGAATGGTGTTGGTGTTTAAAGTACATTATGAAGGTTTTCTGTAAATATGTGCACAATGGAGAAGTTAATTTGCGAACAAACCTCATAAATCATCAATTTTCTTCACTTTCTTTATAAATTCAACCAGTTGAGTGTTAAAACTTGATAGAATCTATATATATAATTCTGTAAGACCAAATTTTTACCAGAAAATTGTGGACGTCTGGTAAGTCGCAGAAAGGTGGGAGAGGTCTTAAATTAAAGGTCTTGACCCCAGGGACTCGGGAAAAATAGCAGAATTCCCATTAAGTTACCAGAAAACGAGATATAACGTAAAATATCCACCATAAGAAATGCATGGGGACTGAAAAACGTCTGCATTCTATCAGCTGTTACTTATTTATTTGCAATGTTTACATTTATTCTGAAAGTCAATGTTGGTAAATAATGTTCCAAAATGAATTGTGTTTATTTTTTTTGTTTTTCCGTTTTTATAATGAGTGAAGTAACTAGACAGGGTAGGGGAAGACCTGCAAGACGTGGAAGAGTGTCCAGGAATTCAACAGACTTAAGAAATGCAAAAGAGAACGTCATGTAGGGCCTAACTGTGAAAGAAATCCAGAAACTGTTTCACAACCTATCTTTAGAAGAACGCTGGAAAATGAGTTGAGTGTTGTTTCTTACAATCTAGGTCCTCTTAAAGCACTTGCATGCATCGTGGCGCATTTCACTTCGCAGAGGAGGCCACAAATGGACATTTCAACGCATGGGCAATGCCACAACCACAAGTAAATGACGAACTAAAAAAACTGTTTTTACATGATTAAAACTTCATAAAAAACATTATAAGGCAATACAACAGTGCAATGGTTTTTGCGTCGCTTTCCACTACACAAAAAGAGAGTTCCGGGAAATGGGTCTTACTGTCTTAAAATTCAGGGACAAATTCGGGGAGTTGCCCTCATAATAATTAATAATAATTTTAACCTTTACATTTGGTTCTCAAAATTGAAACTATAACAGAATTCGTAAGATTACAAAACAAATCTTAATTTTTTTTAAACTAGAAAAGATGTGAAATGTTTGGCTGTATGATTTCAGCTCTGATTCGTCGTTCTCCGGGCTAAGGCCAAACCGTGTGCACGTTTCCATTTGTTAATATGTTGTGTTATTGATTTAATCATTATTTTACAATTGTATTTCATTGACACGTCAGAAGTAACTAATATACGACTCCAAAACAGAAGGGAAACCAAGATATAAAACAAGAAACACTGTTAATTTTAAGTAACATAAAATTGATAATTAATTTTAAAAACATATTTAGAATATTTGTCTTTTTATATATGGTTTTTTATTGTAGTATAAATTAGGGGCTATGGCCCCTACAGGCCACTAGTATATATTATATTTGTTAACATTTTCAGGTACTAATTCAACAAATCTATCTAAGAACCCCCAGATCAAATTAGAAACTTTATAGTGCTATGTTTTAAGAGTAAATAGTACAATTATTTTTAAACTTAAAAAACAAAATAGATAGTTGTTTTTTATTAGCTCCAGGTGGATGGTAAATATACATATTGAGAATTGTGCCTCAGATATGTGAACTACAATTCACTAACCAAAACTAACAATAAAGCCAATCTTGAACTCTTCAGGTTCTATTCGCTGGTTGAGAAAACTTTAAATTTTATAAATCTGCAGGACTACAGAGAAGTAAGGTACATAGGAAACAGGCTTATGGGACAACCGTGTGCTTTCAACTCTGGTATGTTGTGTGGGAAATATACTTCTGACAAGCAAGGAAGAGCCCAAGCGGCGAGCACTTAGCGGAAATTCCTATCACACAGAGCACAGGGTCTTCCTCAACCATGAGCGTTGTGTACATGAGGGCTTGTGAGAACGGTGTTGGACTTAACCCTAGACACCAGCACTGGTGCTAGACACCATTTACCATGAAGTGTATCCTCTGTTCCTTATACTTCTCTGTGACAGGACCTAAAAAGACTTTGCATAACACTCAAGGACAGGTTTAGGAACCTTCATTGAGCAACAAAAAGTGTATAAATTTGCTTGTTCAATTGGTTGATTATGGTGTTTAATAGTTTGGTCATGATTAGTGAATTAGTTAATTAGGCCTATTGGTTAACTAAGTATCACATTAAAATCTACACTCACCCCAAAAAACTTTGTTGAGGAAGTATTGAGCTCCGTAGAGAGCGATTGCTAGAACGTATGTTGCTAAACAGAATGTTATCCTGAGGGTCCAGTTAAGGGTTTTAAACACAGGGTAGAGCCAAGCACCACTCTGATAGTAAGTCAGCATCAGACTGAAAAATTACAAAAAAATTCAAATAAATAGTCAATCTGACATATACTTTTTGCCATTAGCTTATCAACAACCCTAATAACGGACAAGCAGTGGCGGTATCTATGATATTTTATGGGGAAAATCACAAAATTACGAAAAGTCACATTAACTTTTGAATTGTAATTTTTACTGCATTGGGAGTTGTACCAATATGTAGGTTAAAGGACCATAATAACATTTTTAATCAAAATCGATCGAGCGGTTTTTGTGGAAACCCAATTTTCCTGTTGTTTTATGGATTTTATAGATAAATCACCACTAAAAATAAAGATTTCTTAAAGTTTCTTAGGATTAGTACTCACAAACCAAATTTCATCAAAATCCACAGGTGTAGTCTGTAGCTCAGTACACATCCACACACTCATACACACCCACACACACAGACCACTTTTTTTGTTTTCAGGGGGACCCAAAACAAATATTCCCACCCAAAACTCAAAAATAAAAAAATGAAAATAGAAGGGGAGAAAGTAAAAGGGTCATTAGACATATAGCCAAGGTGCCTTAAGATACACACTATACAAAGAATATTTTTATATTCTCTCTTTAGACAGTGCTTAAGAATATATAAACCTTCTACAATGGTTAAGAGTGATTTGGATACACGAGGAGAGCTAGTCCTCTCACAATCGTCATACAAAACACTGGAACTTAATAAAACCAGTAGTGCAACATGGATTTAAACTAGTTCATTTATCCCTATAATTCGTGGGATCTAGCATTTATAATCAACTGGGACATTTCAAATTTAAGAAATAAACATTTTTGTCAAAAATACATAGTAAAATCTCTTACCAGACTGAGTAGCAGAGCAAGTACAGTGTAATTCCAAGCAGCGCAGGTTTGAATGAAGGATATTTATGAAAACAGAGATACATCTCCAGCAAGACTACAACTGAGGTGGTAGTGTGGAGAGAATGGTTGATCCAAGGAGGCAGGTACTTGTCCAATACTGTGGGGAATATGAGGTTGCGGTCTACGGACCAAATACCCCAGAAAACTATTGAGACCAACTGCCAAAATATTTAAATAATTAGACAAAGTGAAATACATCAAATATGGGTAAAACTATACATTTCAATCCCGTGTTGTCGGAGTTAGTTGCAAAAATAAAACAATTAGAATTGAGACACCGACAATAGGCGTAGTGAAGCTCAAATACAGTAGTGTATGCTATGTACTGTAGGTTTAAGTTTTTTTTTGTTTACTACAGATTCAATTTCCTTAAATTTGTACATGTCAATACTTGATTTATTAGGTACTGCAATCACACCTTGAAGCTTGATTCGAACCATTCTTGGCATAAAAACCATGATTTACTTTTAACTTATTCTTTTAACCTTTCGAGCTTGGGAAAACACCCTCTGTTGAGTCTTATTTACATTTACAATAAATTCCCAATTACACTAAGCCTCATAGAAATCTATGCAACATGTATATCAGCTGATCGGAAACTAGGTAAGGAAAACAGGGATACCAACAGGTAAGCTGGTTTTTTTTTCATTAAAGTCTGTCTCAGAGTACTTTTTATTTGGGTTGCTTCGAAAAAAAACCTGGTTTTCAGCTACGCTGCGTAGCCTACGCATGAAATTTGTACTATATGACGCTAAAAAAAGTTTGATCTAAAATAATTTATAAAACAAACATAGGCTATTTACAAAAAATTTGACAGTCACACTATCTGAGGGTTTATTTATGTCAGAAATTGTCTGAATGAACTAGATTCCATTTTATCAGCATTAATCTTTGACCAGTTTCCTCGGTTTATCATGAGTTTTCGTTAATTAATTTTCAATTCAACTTCAGATAATAAATCATAGTAAACAAATAAATATTCTTTAGAGTTCACAATATTTTTATATCGAGTGTAGGCCTACATGTTGCTCTTATATATTGCTTTGCAGGTAATTTGATTTCATGGACCAAAAAGGTACAGGAGGTTTACTTGTTACAAAGGAGAAGTTTGTTCTTAATTCAGCCATTTGCACTGCCAAAAATACTAAGTCAACTATTTTAAAACCTTAGAGTTGGATATTAGTTTATAGAAAAACTGTAATTACCATGGGTACCCTTATAACTTTTCGAGAAGGGGAGGATAGGATACGGAATAAGCCCCAGTAAAAAGGGGGGGGGGGGGTTCAGGGATCCTCGCCCAGAATATGTTTAGAATTTGGGTACAAATGTTTAATGATATTCTTACCAAAGCCATTGGTGCCACCAGTACTGTGAAGAAGTAGTTCTTAAACTTATTTACTTTATCCTTTAATCTTTCTTGTCCTTTGAAAACACTCAACACATCTTCTACGAGAGCCACGAGAAAGTATATAGTTTGCAGAGTCTGGAAACATGAGCAGTAAATATAGCAATGATCATAAAATATTTATTCTTATTATTCATTTAAAATGAATAATAAGACTTAACCTTATTCTTGATCAGCAGAATAGGTGTTATTAAATTTGCGGAAAGTAAATAAAATTATGTCTATAATAATACTTGAAACATATTTACACCTATGTTGACTCACAAAACAGTAAGAGTAAATACATAAGAATGGTAAGTGGTGATCCCTAATTATTGTATATTCATAAGGAAGGACAAAGTAAAAATAAAATAAGCTAATAAATGAACAAGTAAATTTTATACTACAGTTGTACTTAGAAACGTCTTGCCCTGAACTTCCGGTAGCCAATAGGATATAAGTAGGGATGCCATCGAGGTTCTTGTCACTCACCTATTGGTCTGATGATGATTTGACTGTCCAATCAAATTGATCACCATTTACCATTTTTAAATAAATAAATATATATATATAAAACAAGGGTGATACAAACATGTTAGGTACCTAATCAAGAACAAAAGGCTACAAAAACAAGGATAATATAATGTAAATTAAATATATAGCATATATGTTTCAAAATTTAATAGACATATTTTTATTTACTTTCAGTAAATCTCATTGCATCATATTATAGGGCCTACATATACTGTGTTAGATTGTGAATAATAATATTTTACCATGTAACATTGAATAGCATTTATTGAGAAAGGTTGAATTACCTTGGCACAGAAGTGGGTTTATGAGCCAAGGATGAATCAGACAGATCATGGACTGTGTTGCTAATTTTTTTGTCCTAGGACGTTAAGCTCTAGAACAGGATCGTTTTTCACTTCAGGTTAGACCAGGGGTTGCGGTATAATCACATTAATAAAATCCATTGGTGATTTTCCGGGATTTGAACCTGTGACCTCAAAGATCAAAATCCTGCACTCTACCACTGGATCGGCTCATTCCCCTGTTTTACAGATCAGCCAAAATTTCTGTGTGCACGATCAGAACTGGTAGAATCTTGGCAAGGTTTTTTTTTCCTAGGATGCTAGGCAAGAGCCCGGGGTTTTTTCACAGTACTTCAGACTAGAACTAGGGGTTGTGGCACTATCACTTAGATAAAATCCATTGGCGGGATTTGAACCCGGGACCTCAGGGACCGAAGTCCTGCACTCTAACCATTAGAACAGCTCGCTCCCCTGGCAAGGGGGTTGGCAGAGGTTCTTTGGTAAAAACATCTGTGTCTTGCTACTCAGTGTGACTTACTCACCCCTATCGCCAGCACTGCCAATAACCGGCACACATGTTTTTAGTGTAGCTAGAAGCTAACACAGACATTTTGGCCGATCTGTAATGATTAAGATGAGCCGGTTCTTAAGTGATAAAATATGTATAAGCTTAAAAATCTTGTACTGTATCATATTTCATCGGTATGCCTTTTTCTGGCTTTTGGGAGTCTTTGAATAAACGGGAAATCATCCAATATACTGCCTTCTATATATAATTTTAATTTTTTTCTACCATATAGTGAATTCACTGTATGATTACTGTATGTACTCTGGATGACTGAAGTTTGAGTACGTGAAACTGTTTATGTAACAAACTGAAACTGTAAATACAAACTTTGATGAGACATTTTCCATCACAGTTATTAAATATTATTCACAACATTTTGGTATTATCATCACTATCAACTGAAATAGGGACACCACCTAGATACGTATTTTAATCCAAATATGAGTAAAGGATGAGTAGAATGGAATGAGATGATCTGTGTAGCTTTCTTACTGACTAAGATCAGCTTTTTAATCAGTCAGGACCATTTGATTTACAGCCCAATGATCAGGAACAGCTATGGGTACTGTTTCGACCCATCAAAAAGCAAGTGACTTTTCTCAGGATTGATCAGGCAACCTCTAGGCATAGCCCATGGGATCCTATAATGATAATGTAAAGTTAGGACTCAAGCGATCAGAGAGTTGATTTGGTACTTACAAAAGTCCAGTTGGTAAGATATCGCAGCGAAAACCTTTTGACGTGACGTACCACTGGATCATTTATCTCCTCAGGTTTGAACTCCAGCATGTTTTCTTTCATCCAGTGAGTGACCACCATGAAGTAGCCGACAACAGTTACATGATAAAGTAGACTTGTGACTGCCATCTGAGGAAACAAACATGCAAGGATAAACATGAAGGCACATCTCATTACAGTCGGGACCACGTAAGTTTGCAGTTGAGGGAGGAGCCTATTTACCACATGGTTTTGAATGAACCAATGAGAACCGTGCGGTGTTGCCAAATCTAATAAATACCAGCTGATTTGAAAATATTGCTAAGTATATTTTAATTAGTGTTGTCAACGGGTGATGTGGCAACATCGCACTAGCCTTGTTTTGTGATTGGCTGCCACCAACTGCAAACTTACAAGGTCCCGACTCTAGTTATTTACTGACCATGAAATATTGTGAAGGGCGGAATAGAGAATCTATCTGCCCCTTATACTTTTTTTTAGTAGCACAGAGAAGTAAGATACAGAGGAAACTTGCTTATGGGTACGACCGTGCGCTTTCAGCTCTAGTTTGTTGTACGTGGAAATACTTATTAGCAAGCAAGAGCCTAAGCGACGAGCATTGTGTGAAAATTCCTATCGCACAGGGTTTTTGTCCCACAACCCACCATGAGCGTTGTGGTAGCCTACATGAGGGCGAAGGGGCAGTGTTAGACTTTGCACTAGACACTAGTAACAGTGATTCCTGGACACCAGCACTTATATGTTACATATGGTTAATGGTTATATGTTATATGGCCAGGCATACCTCCAAAGGGTTATGAAAGCATTTTTTTCTTGTTATTTATCATAAGGTAAAATGAATTCATGTTAAAATCAATACCAAAGAACAAACAAATCAATAAATTGATTCAGACTAACATTTTCTCATGATAAGTCATGTGATAATGTTTTACAGAGTTGTAATTGGTTGAAGTCTGTGTGGTCTATTATTGGACTAAAAACAAAAAGTTATTTGTACATGGCATAAGTGACATGATTATGAAGTTGAAGTGGACAACTAAAAGGAAGAAAACTGTGAAGTGGACTTAACCACATAGGAAGTTTGTCTAATATATTTTATAAATTACAAGAAACAAAGTTTGGTTTAGAGTCAGTTTATACATAATTTTATGTAGGCCTACATTTTAAAATTTACTTTAAAACTTAAATGATTTTTCATCATAATAATAATAATTATATTCTCTTGATTAAAAGAATAAATCCAGCCAATTAAAATATATACTGCATTTCCATTTTGCAATTTTTTTTTATATATGCCTCAGTATGGTATTTAAGTTTATTTTATCAATTGAGAATTGTTTACTGTTTGTATTAAACTCTTTATTTGAATTAGGTGCGTGTCTTAAAATAAACCAGTAACTTTGACTAGGTCCGTGAAGTTGGCGTACCCATATTAGCGTATCCACTTTTGATCATACCAATCGTTAGTTCATCGTTAGTTCTCGATAGTTCCCAAATTTTTTCGTTAGTTCTCAAGAAATAAAAAAGTTATAGCCGATTACAAGTGGGTACGCTAACTTCACACTTCCGGGTTCTAGCACAAGCCGTTTTCTGAGGAGAAATGTTTACATCTATATACCAATCGTTAGTTCTTCGTTAGTCCTCGATAGTTCCCAAATTTTTTCGTTAGTTCTCAAAAAATAAAAAAGTTATGAGGCATACAAAGTGGGTACGCTAACTTCACAATTGTACAATTTCCAGCGGGAACAGTTTTTTTTACTATAAATGCCTATATCTATATACCAATCGTTAGTTCTTCGTTAGTTCTCGATAGTTCTCCAAAATTAACGTTAGTTCTCAAAAAATAAAAAAGTTACGAAGCATAAAAAGTGGGTACGCCAACTTCACAGTTATAGAATTTCCAGCGGGCACAGTTTTTTTACTATAAATGACTATATCTATATACCAATCGTTAGTTCTCGATAGTTCTCAATTATTAACGTTAGTTCTCAAAAAATAAAAAAGTTAAGAGGCATACAAAGTGGGTACGCTAACTTCACAATTGTACAATTTCCAGCGGGAACAGTTTTTTTACTATAAATGCCTATATCTATATACCAATCGTTAGTTCTTCGTTAGTTCTCGATAGTTCTCCAAAATTAACGTTAGTTCTCAAAAAATTAAAAAGTTACGAAGCATAAAAAGTGGGTACGCCAACTTCACAGTTATTGAATTTCCAGCGGGCACAGTTTTTTTACTATAAATGACTATATCTATATACCAATCGTTAGTTCTTCGTTAGTTCTCGATAGTTCTCCAATATTAACGTTAGTTCTCAAAAAATAAAAAAGTTAAGAGGCATACAAAGTGGGTACGCTAACTTCACAATTGTACAATTTCCAGCGGGAACAGTTTTTTTACTATAAATGCCTATATCTATATACCAATCGTTAGTTCTTCGTTAGTTCTCGATAGTTCTCCAAAATTAACGTTAGTTCTCAAAAAATAAAAAAGTTAAGAAGCATAAAAATTGGGTACGCCAACTTCACAGTTATAGAATTTCCAGCGGGCACAGTTTTTTTACTATAAATGCCTATATCTATATACCAATCGTTAGTTCTTCGTTAGTTCTCGATAGTTCTCCAATATTTACGTTAGTTCTCAAAAAATAAAAAAGTTAAGAGGCATACAAAGTGGGTACGCTAACTTCACAATTGTACAATTTCCAGCGGGAACAGTTTTTTTTACTATAAATGCCTATATCTATATACCAATCGTTAGTTCTTCGTTAGTTCTCGATAGTTCTCCAATATTTACGTTAGTTCTCAAAAAATAAAAAAGGTTACGAGGCATACAAAGAGGGTTCGCTAATTTCACAATTATACAATTTCCCGCGGGCACCTTTTTCTGACTATAAATGCCTATATCTATATACCAATCGTTAGGTCTTCGTTAGTTCTCGATAGTTCTGTAATATTTACGTTAGTTCTCAAAAAAATAAAAAAGTTACGAGGCGTACAAAGTGAGTACGCTGACTTCAAATTTATAAAATTTCCGGCGGGCACCGTTTTCTGACTAAAAACGCTTATATCTATTTACCAATTTTTAGTTCTTCGTTATGTCGTGTTAGTTCCCCAATATTATTACTAGTTCTTAAAAAATAAAAAGGCAATAAGGTCTTAAACGTGGTTATGCCAACCTCAAACCCAAATCATTCCTAGCGTGCACCCTTGTCTGACTAAAAGTGCCTATATCTTAATATTAATCGTAAGATGGGCTCACTCATTTATTTTGTTAGTTCTAAAAAAATTAAATAAATATACGTATAGCCAATAATCAATAGATAAACTTATTTAATGCTTCTGATTTCCAGCGCGCACCTTCATTCAACGAAAAATGCTTACAGTATACTACTATACAACTAAATAAATCTTGTCTCGACCCCGCCATACCCAATACGCCATGCTAGTAATGTGTTGTACACATTTATTCCATCCACTACTCCAGTCTCCAGTTTGTTCAAGTCCGTATGACCTTTCAGTCTCGATCCGTGCAACTGTCACTCGTAACGTGTTACGTTTAATGATGTAATTTTATAATACTAATACCGAACACAAACAAATACAAACAATACAAACGATTAGTTTAATTAGCAAACAGAAGTTCTTTGATCGTACATATTTTATCTGCTTATCCAATTCAAATAATCACTGCTTATAAATTACTTTATACCATTTTACTTAGCAGACTCTGGTTTTCATTTTGATGGATAGTTTATTTTGTTTCCATGATGGACTTTTTATAAAATACACTTTTTCACACAACTAAGTAGGTATAAATATGATTTCATTGCTTATCTAAAACCAATTTTTGGAAGCGTTGTCTTTTTTGGATGTTCTAATTAACTGAACATATTCAACTGTTAATCATTTTGATAACGTAATCAAAATTATCACTCCTAAAAAATAATCTAACCGAGTGACACCTGCAACTACTATTGCGGATATCACAGATAAGCGCTATCCTGGAACTGATAAGCAATCCTATCTCTTCGAGAGAATCATAATGTGATAGTTATTCTAATGTCAGTGTTACTTTGATTTTCATTGTGTGAAGATGAATCAAATTACAATGCATGGAACTAAAAATTGGTATATAGATTTAAGCGTTTTTAGTCGGAAAACGGTGCCCGCTGGAAATGTTATAATTTTGAAGTCAGCGTACTCACTTTGTATGCCTCGTAACTTTTTTATTTTTTTTTTAGAACTAACGTAAATAATGGAGAACTATCGAGAACTAACAAAGAACTAACGATTGGTATATAGATGTAAGCATTTTTATTTAAAAAAACTGTGCCCGCTGGAAATTCTATGATTGTGAAGTTGGCGTACCCACTTTTTATGCTTCGTAACTTTTTCATTTTTTGAGAACTAACGCAAATATTGGAGAACTATCGAGAACTAACGAAGAACTAACGATTGGTATATAAATATAAGCATTTTTATTTAGAAAACTGTGCCCGCAGGAAATTCTATAATTGTGAAGTTGGCGTACCCACTTTTTATGCTTCGTAACTTTTTCATTTTTTGAGAACTAACGCAAATATTGGAGAACTATCGAGAACTAACGAAGAACTAACGATTGGCATATAGATATAAGCATTTAAAGTCATAAAACGGTGCCCGCTGGATATTCTATAATTGTGAAGTTAGCGTACCCACTTTGTATGCCTCGTAGCTTTTTTATTTTGTGAGAACTAACGTAAATATTGGAGAACTATCGAGAACTAACGAAGAACTAACGATTGGTGTATAGATATAAGCATTTAGAGTCAGAAAACGGTGCCCGCTGGAAATTGTATAGTTGTGAAGTGTGCGTACCCACTTTGTATGCCTCGTAACTTTTATATTTTTTGAGAACTAACGTCAATATTGGAGAACTATTGAGAACTAACGATTGGTATATAGATATAGGCATTTATAGTTAAAAAAAACTGTTCCCGCTGGAAATTGTACAATTGTGAAGTTAGCGTACCCACTTTGTATGCCTCATAACTTTTTTATTTTTTGAGAACTAACGAAAAAATTGGAGAACTATCGAGAACTAACGACAAACTAAACGATTGGTATATAGATATAGGTATTTATAGTAAAAAAAACTGTGCCCGCTGGAAATTCTATAATTGTGACGTGTGCGTACCCACTTTGTATGCCTCGTAACTTTTTTATTTTTTGAGAACTAACGTAAATATTGGAGAACTATCGAGAACTAACGAAGAACTAACGATTGGTATATAGATATAGGCATTTATAGTAAAAAAACTGTGCCCGCTTGAAATTCTATAAGTGTGAAGTTGGCGTACCCACTTTTTATGCTTCGTAACTTTTTTATTTTTTGAGAACTAACGTTAATTTTGGAGAACTATCGAGAACTAACGAAGAACTAACGATTGGTATATAGATATAGGCATTTATAGTAAAAAAACTGTTCCCGCTGGAAATTGTACAATTGTGAAGTTAGCGTACCCACTTTGTATGCCTCTTAACTTTTTTATTTTTTGAGAACTAACGTTAATATTGGAGAACTATCGAGAACTAACGAAGAACTAACGATTGGTATATAGATATAGTCATTTATAGTAAAAAAACTGTGCCCGCTGGAAATTCTATAATTGTGAAGTTGGCGTACCCACTTTGTATGCCTCTTAACTTTTTTATTTTTTGAGAACTAACGTTAATATTGGAGAACTATCGAGAACTAACGAAGAACTAACGATTGGTATATAGATATAGTCATTTATAGTAAAAAAACTGTGCCCGCTGGAAATTCTATAATTGTGAAGTTGGCGTACCCACTTTGTATGCCTCTTAACTTTTTTATTTTTTGAGAACTAACGTTAATTTTGGAGAACTATCGAGAACTAACGAAGAACTAACGATTGGTATATAGATATAGGCATTTATAGTAAAAAAACTGTTCCCGCTGGAAATTGTACAATTGTGAAGTTGGCGTACCCACTTTGTATGCCTCATAACTTTTTTATTTTTTGAGAACTAACGAAAAAATTTGGGAACTATCGAGGACTAACGAAGAACTAACGATTGGTATATAGATGTAAACATTTCTCCTCAGAAAACGGCGCGTGCTAGAACCCGGAAGTGTGAAGTTAGCGTACCCACTTATAATCGGCTATAACTTTTATATTTTTTGAGAACTAACGAAAAAATTTGGGAACTATCGAGAACTAACGATGAACTAACGATTGGTATGATCAAAAGTGGATACGCTAATATGGGTACGCCAACTTCACGGACCTACTTTGACTGTGTAAAATTAGAAAACAAAAATCAATGTCCCCAATATATGTACTTATAACACCTTTGTTTTAAAATGTCATATGTACAAAAACTAATAAACAAAGACATATTGAAGGAATATAGGCCTAATTAAAATCAACAAAGGTTCTTTTATAACAGTAGTACATCTATTAAATTGGTCACAACTCATTGATGTGGTTGAATTAGAACAATAATGAAGTAAATTTTACCATTTGAAAAGACTTGTTCCAATCAAGATCTAAAACACTGCTAAATATATTTACCTGACTACGTTTGTAGATTTGCTCAGAAATTAACAGCACAGGTACTAGTTTATTGTAATTTTCCTTATCCTCCTACTAACCTTCACCTGGAACTAACCTCGAAGCGACAGCAGTTCTGTTTCCGTGGTCAGGTTCTCAGGTTATGGTGTGGCTGGCGGCTGGCTGGTCTTGGTCGTGGCAAAGTAGGTTATTGATGTGCCACTGTACTGCACTATCTGCTAGTGTATAGTAGGCGAGTCTGAGTAGGCCAGTAGGCCTATCGATCGATCTACCAACTGCTTCTCTTTCTCCCCTCTACCCTCTCAACACGTTCCATCGTTCCATGGCCTGGGGGGGGGTAATTGTTATCAGGGGGGATAATGATAAGGTGACTCGCAAACCGGAAACTAGTCACGTGACTCGATTACTCAACCATTGTTTTTGTGGAATTCCGCTTACACTGATGGAAGTAATTTCTTTTCGTGTATTTTAATTGTCACGTCGAAGAAGTAGTTAACCCGAGTTGTTGTTTTTAAAACGTTCTTTAAACTGGAGAATTTGTCTGATTGATTAACTCAATGCCAACTGCATTAAGACTTTTGAGGGTAAAAAAGGGGGAAACTAATTTTCACCCCATAAAAACCATTTTCAATAGTCTGATCATGATTGCAAACTTGTTTAAATGTATGAATGTATGTGATGTAAGTTTACAAGTCTTGTACAAAAGAATAAAATCTTCAAAATCGTATGATTTATTTTACTCGAGTTATCATGTATATTATGAACCTTACATTAAACAACCATTTTCCCCCTTTTTCATTCAACCTCCGTTTAAATATCCATATCAACAAGTTAAGGTCATTAAAAGAAAGCAGACCAGAAGACACACACAGGCAGAGTTTATCTATGTCTGCTGATTCCATAAATCAATTACAAAATTATTACTATCTACAAAATTAAAAATTTACTCTTGATTACTTTATGTTTGTAAAACTTAATAGTTATTGTAAACAAACATGTCTACTGTATATCAATTTTAGTGGAATAATTAAAATTTTAGTTACATCTTTCTTTCACTTTTAAAACTGATGTTGTTGAGGTCTCTGGAGGACATACAAACGAAAAAGTAAGTCAGTCCCGGGAAAAGGTCTTACCATGAGACCTTCAGTAAAGCTTATTCCCAATGATAAATCCGCTAAAATTAACTTAATCCGTATATTGAAATTATTAAGCTAGCGAGTATTCTATTCTATTTTTGTGGACGATTTAAGGGGAGTTTACATAACTGGTTAAGCGAGTGAGGGCAAAAGTTATATTTATACAGAGAAACGGGAGCGAGTGAAAGTAAACACAGATATCTCTGATTCTCTGGACAAAACTTTCCCTGAACTCGGGGAAAACCTCCAATCCTCATTCTTGTTGTCAACCGACGGAGTAGTCAAGCTCGACTTGATCCTATACCCTTACTATAATGAGCAATGTATATGCTTGTATGTGAGCTATGTATGTTATGCTTCTCGTTGGTATGCTTGCACAAAGATCTCGTTTATTTCGTATTTTATTACATATCATAATTTTATATCTAACCAGCTGTTTACCTGTCCTACGTACGGGAATGAAGTAGTCTATTAAAAATGAAACAATGCAGAACTGCTAGTTTATACACGCATATAGAAAAATTTTGGCAGTTTTAATAGGTAAAATCATCTAGAAAATAGTTACTTTCGTTACGGAGTGATGAAAAAGTATATTCAATAAGAAAACTGTCCTTAAATTGTCATTTTTCAAGTCAAAAAGATCAGTATATCTAACAGTCCACTCCTTAACGACTTATTATTGTTATTGTGTTGTATTTATTATTATTGTTATTTCGGTAAATCGGTCTACGGGGTTATTGAGCGTAATTAATAATTTTGTAATCAATGGTTGAATATGGGTAACTCATGTGTTTACCCTAGGGAAAGTCAGATATTGAAAATGAATGGGAACTACAAACTCATGAAAGACGTGATGGCAATTAAAGAGGAAGACAAAAAATATGCTGAAACTGACATCACAAAAGGGGCTATTACGTTTGACCTAGAGGCAATTCTAAATATCCCCTCGGGCGGAGATTCTTAAATTTATTATAATTTACAATTTATGATACAAACAGAGATTGTCATTGTATCTTGTTTGACGAAATAATAGTATATGAGACGAGGTGTTAGCCCGTCCTACGTACGGGAATTCAGTAGTCAGGTAAAACCGTGTACAATTCAGATCAGCTAGTTTACACATATAAAGACAAAGTTTCTTGCAGTTTTAATGTGAAGAATTTTCTTGTAAACAAATGTTGTGTGACGAAATATGTTTTTATTCCATCATAGGCCTATACGATATGCATTTTGAATCCAATAATTTTACAATAAAACAGCAATTCTGCTATTTTTACGGTGTGAAAAGCGTTGAAGTGAGATTTGCAGCCGATTCGCACAGACGCACACTGATTATAAGTAGCCTACGGTAGAGAGAGTAGTCAATAATAGTGTAATTAATAGTGTAGTTAAATGCAATAATAGTGTAGTTAAATAATAGTGTAATTCCTTAATTACTCGGCTATATATTAACTAGATGCATTTTCTTATAAGAAAAAAATATATTATTACGAATACATTTGGTTTAAAATGTAAAACACGGCCTCCAAACTACATATAATAATACGCATAATACAGACTACCACTACAAATCCAATTTTAATTATTATAAAGTTGTAGGTTATTATAATATGATTATGTAACAGATTCTTATTCAGTTATGCCAGTTATTCAGTTCTTATTAACAGTTGTGCCGATATCAGCAGCACTGCGCAGCAATTATGAGGCAACCTATCGGACGAACCCCAAGGCGTTTGGAGGCCGTGTTTTACATTTTAAACCAAATGTATTCGTAATAATATATTTTTTCTTATAAGAAAATGCATCTAGTTAATATATAGCCGAGTAATTAAGGAATTACACTTGTATTTATCAACAATCCATACGATTTTCGAAAAAAATAGCTGTACGATGTAGATTTTGTTAAACTTATTATTGTTATAACTTTTTTATTAGTTAAGATACAACTTTTTACCCAATGATCTTTTCTATTGGTAATATTTTTTGGATTAAAACTACGTTTTAACCGATGTCCTATCTCGTACCGTTCTCGAGCTACAGTCGTCTCGATGCATAGCGCGTTCCGCCATCTTTGCCCCCCTCCCCCCAAGTTCTCGACCACCTGAAAAGTAGGCGACATGCGTATTTTTTATCACCACAGTCCATATTACAACTATCAGCAAAGTTATTTGATATTACTTCTTTGCGACACTCACAAATTAATTCTACTTTCGGTTAAAAAACTACACGAAAAGTCAATTTTTACATATTTTATACAATAACTTGTTTATTTATAGAGATACGACCTCGGACCCAATAATCATTATTGTTGTCCACATTTTTATAATTCCAACGACGTTTTAACCGATGTTCTATCTTTTACCGTTTTCGAACTATCAGCGTTTTAACGCATAGCGCAAACCGCCATGTTTGCCCCCTCCCCCCACCTTATCGACCACTTTTGAAATAGGCGACATACGTAATTTTGATCACCACAGTCCATATTACAATAATCAGCAATAACATTGCGCACTACTTTCATGCATGCTCAAACCCCCTCAGCTCCTGGACTAATGGAGGAAAACGAGGTTTTTGTCACAGCTAATTTGAGAGAACGGATGGGCGTAGACACTTGGTAGGGGTGTCTAAAGAAAGGTATTGGTCTGTAGGTGAGCTCTCAAAAGAGAAACGAGGTAAATTTTCTTAGGCCTCTGCCCCAGAGGCCTTTAAAGTTCACTCTGCAATTTTGTTTACATTTCGACCATATGGATAGTTTTACACTACTTTTAATGAACCAGCTGTTAATATTAAAATTGTATTCAAAGGTCTACTGAAACTGTCAAAATTAAATGTTTACATTATTATTTATTATTTTTAATGGATTCTCCACTGCATGGCAAGTTTTTTATAGTTTCACCAAAATGATGAATTTATGACACGTTTTAAATGTTTTGTTCAAAAATCAATGCTTTATTGCTTTTAGAAAATTCTGGGTTGAAAATTGTGTCATAGATGAGAGCTGTGTTCAAGTTTTGGAATACAGTAGAAGTGTTTCTACTGCGGTGGCCGGCGTCATTTTACTCGAAACAACTGTCCTGCCAAAGATGCTACTTGCTCTGGTTGTAAGAAAAGGGGACATTTTGTGAAGGTATGCAGGTTGATGAAAACTCAAGGTAAGACCTTTAATGCCTCTTCTTTGGTAGTAACCACGCTTTCATGTGCAGCTGCCTGGCTGCCTCCAATGGACTGTCAAAAGCAGTTGTGCGGGGTTATGCAAATAAAATACCTGTTGAAGTTTTGGTTGATACTGCTGGAAGTACCGATAGTTTTATAAACCGAGCTGTGGTAATTGAAAATGGTTTTCATGTAATTCCAGAACGGAAACAGGTATCTATGGCTTCCACAAACCTAAAGTCACCCATCAAAGGTTATGTTAATGTAAACTTAGAGTTCTCTGACCATAACTATGAGAGAGTACAACTGTTTGTTATTGACAATCTGTGCACTGACATATTGGTTGGTCATGATATAATGAAACTGCATTCTTCAGTGAACCTAGATTTTGGAGGAGATAAGTTACCTCTGTCCATTTGTAATGTTGCCTGTGCTTCTGTGGAACCACCATGCCTTTTTCATAATATATCACCTGACTGCAAGCCCATTGCAACTAAGTCTCGTAGGTATTCTAATGATGATGAAAAGTACATCAACTCTGAAGTGCAAAAACTCCTTCAAAGTGGTATAATTGAAGAAAGTTCATCTCCCTGGCGTGCACAAGTGCTTGTTACCAAAAGTTCATCTCATAAAAAGCGATTAGTAATAGATTATAGTCAAACTATAAATAAGTTTACCCTATTGGATGCCTACCCCTTGCCTAATATTGAAAACATAGCTAGTAAAATAGCTGAAAATAAAGTATTCAGTATTATAGATTTAAAGGAGGCTTACCATCAAATACCAGTATCGGAACATGAAAAATGCTTCACAGCATTTGAGGCAGCAGGAAAACTTTATCAGTTCTGTAGGGTTCCATTTGGTGTGACAAATGGTGTGTCTGCTTTTCAGCGCACGATTAATAAGATTATTTCCACTGAAGAACTAGAAGGGGTGTGGGCTTTCATTGATGACATAACCGTAGCCGGAAAAACTCAGT